AGAAGAACTCAAAACATTATAGGGAGCAGACCGGGCTCAGAAAATTGAATGACAAATTAGGAACATGTTGGTCTCAAAAATGAATTAGAAAATTGAGAATCATTTAGTCCAACCTGCCTGGGGTAAGGACAAGCAAACCTCCAATGATGATTGATCTGCCTAACATTTGATACCTATGTATATACTGGAAGCAAAAGTTTCATGAAACAATAATACCTGCAGCATACTTTGATATTTTCTATTTATATTTTGTGTTTTTCTCTTATAAAAAAAAAGATTGCCACAACCCAGGAATAGGTCACAACTGCAGTTTGAAAAATACTGCCACAGAGCATCATCGGTGCATTAGTATTAGTGCTATTTCAACTTTGTAAATTTCAAGGTCATATGTTTACTTTATGTTACTTCTTAAAGTTCTAAGGTGGTACATTTGTCCAAGAGAACAGCATCTTCCCAGTCCTCTACTTGCACGTTTCCTCATAGTTCTAAATTAGAAATAGGGCAGTCACTTCCTCTCTGGGGGCAAATTGGGGACCCAAGTCTTTCCTAAATCACACATTGATTTGTTACAATAGACTTGTTGGTTTTTTGCTTTCTTCCATCACAAGAACTTCTTTTTCTCTCTTTGAGTTTCTTTCTCTTGTCTCTGGCTAATTCTTCTTGTTTTCAATTTTATTCAGGCAACTAAATTTTATTAATTTAGAAATACTAGGATGAACAGGAAAAATTCTCCACCTGTGAGAAACTAATGGATCAGGAGGAGAAACCAACAAGTGAAATAGAGCGAGATACTAAAGAGAGGGACACAGAAAGAGCTCAGGCCGCAGAGAGAGATGGGTCTAACTGAAACAGAGGTGGAACGGCTTCTCAGAACAGAGGTGTTTGGGAAAGTACCTAACGGATTTTGCCTAGGGTGAGATGACACTGCTGGAAGAGGGAACAGCATGTGCTGAGACATGGAGGTGGCGAGAACACGTAGTTACATTTTTCTGGAGTTACAGCGGAGTGACAGGAAATGAGGCTCAGCGGAAGGGCCCCCGCTGCACATTTGTGGACTGTGGAGAGTCACTGGGTGACTCTGAGCTCTCACTGTCTGCTCTTTGGGAGGAAGCAAGAAGTAGTGGGTTCAAATTTCAGCGTCTCAGTCTTACTTCTTTCTACTAGGCTACAGTCAACCTAAAGTCTGGAAGGTCTTACTATCTAAATCCCCAGTGCCTGGTACAGGGCTTGGCATGGATTCAAAGGACATTCAAAGGAATTTCAATGAGCTCACCTTCGTGGCCCAGCACTTGGCAGGTATCTGAAACACATGTCCAGACTGTGCTCTGTTCTTCGAGAATGACATGGAATTGTAATACTTGGGGGAATAACCTAGGAAAACAAACATTCTCTTTCACTAAAATCTCTTTTCAAAACTTCCCCTTCTTGGTAAGATGTTGCAAATGAATTAACACCTTAACATTGTTCTCATCCTGTTCCCAGATCCTGAAGATAACATGAATAAAAAAATCCTTGCCGAAACCGGTTTGGCTCAGTGGATAGAGCGTCGGCCTGCGGACTGAAAGGTCCCAGGTTCGATTCCAGTCAAGGGCATGTACCTGGGTTGCGGGCACATCCCCAGTGGGAGATGTGCAGGAGGCAGCTGATCGATGTTTCTAACTCTCTATCCCTCTTCCTTACTCTCTGTGAAAAATGAATAAAAATATATTAAAAAAAAAAAGTGAGAGATAAAAACCACATGATCATATCAATAAATGCAAAATAAGCATTTGACAAAATCCAGCACCCTTTTTTGATAAAAACTCTCAGTTAAGTGGGAATAGAGAGATCATACCTCAACATAATAAAGGTCATAGGCAACAAATCTACAGCCAACATAATACTCAATAAGCAAAAACTAAAAGTATTTCCCTAAGACAAGGATGTCCGCTTTCACCACTCTTATTCAACATAGTACTGGACATCCTAACCACAGCAATCAAATAAGAAGAAGAGATAAAAGGGCATCCAAATTGGAAAGGACAAAGTAAAGCAGTCATTATTCACAGGGGATTGTGAGAGGGATGTCTGACTGCCAGTTTAGGCCCGGGATCAGGCCTAAACCGGCAGTTGGACATCCCCGAGGGGTCCCAGATTGGAGAGGGTGCAGGCTGGGTGAGGGGACAACTCCCCCCACCCCCCGCACAAATTTCGTGCACCAGGCCTCTAGTAGTAATATAAAAATAATTGACTTGTGATAATCTAGTTTATAGTTCTCACTAGCTACCAATGTTCAATAAAAAACACGTTTATGATTATTTTTAATACTACCATGTAAGTGTGAAAATCATAAAAGAATTGAGTGGTGCATTTGGGAGATCCTGTTGAGCTTAATCTGATTCATCCCTCTTGTTTTACAATAGAGGAAAGTGGGGTCTAGATGACTTTAATAGAGCTGCTCCAAATACTTTTATATCAGGGAATTAAAACCAACCAAAGAGCTATGACTCAGAGCAACTTATCTTGTGAATATATGTCCCTTTAGTTTCTTAAAAATGCCTATCTGTGTTCCCATGGTAAAATTTGTATCATATTGTCTATATTTTTGTATCTTGCCTTTTTCACTAAATATATTTTGAGTTTCCCCCCAAATCTTTTGTTATTTGCAAATTTGTCACTCTATTCACATAGTCACTATATAATATCTCATTGGATGGTTATACCATAATTTATTTGATGTATTCCTTGTTGTTGGGCATTTAGGTTGTTTTGCATTATTGTTGTTGTTATTAGAAATAAAACCTTTGCACCTAAATCATGATTTCTATCTGATTATTTCTTAAGGGGAGAAATACCAGTTTGGTCAAAAGGAGGAACACATTTAAGGCTTCTGATACATACTACTAAGTTGTATGGCCCAAGAAAGTTTCACAGATTTACCATAAATAATAATTTATGTCTTTTCTGAAATCTTAGCAACTTTAGACCAATTATTCCAAATAATGTGGAGTTGAAATTTGCCCTAATTTTAATAACTAAAAAATACAAATAATTATGATGCAGCTATTAGTTTAAGGAGTTAGATCTTATTCTCAAATTGTAAATGAATCTGTAGGCTAAGGGAGATCTGTGTGACTAAATGGCCAAGGATTACATGGGAAATGTTGAGTTTTCCTGTAGGGGTCACTGTTACTGTCTACAAGTCAGTAACAGATGAAAATAAAGTCATGCATTTAAGCATACACATTCATTTTCAACGCCTGATTTGTCTACATTCTCTAAATTGCAAAATAAATAAGATCTTCAGCCAGATAGCATCATAATGCCAACTTCTTTATATAATGACACATACCATTCTCTCCACTCAATATGCTCCATTTGAATTGATTAAATGTATGCGACTCATATGAGAGGCACTGCTGCTTGCTCTTACTAGAGGAAGCATTAGCTAATTACCTAACGTCTTAAAGTGGTTTAAATGGCATATACTGACTTGAAGAACAGAAGGAAAAAAAACAAAAACAAAACCCACAAAAAACAACGTTCAGTGCTGTGGACGGCAGGGTCCTTTCCTTTTCCCTTTGTTTTTTCTGCTTTTCCCGTGACCCTGTTTGCGCTCTTCCTCAAAATCAGCACAGAAGACAAAATCAGATGCTGTAATCTGCATTGTATAGTGCTATTTGAGTACAAAGAGGTGCTTTTCAATCTTTACGTGCGTATTATTATTATCATCATCAATGCAGCTCAAACTTGCTCCCAACGTTCCAGGAGCCAGGCCAACGTGGCTGTGCGGACACACCTTTGCTAGGTGCTGAGGCCGGGAACAGGCCAGGTGTTGCTGGAAACGAATCAGCTCTCCTCTCTGCATAGCAGGAGTCTTTTCATTATAAAATGCAAAGCAGCAGCCGTTTTCCATTACCCGCATCCCCAGCCCTCCTCATCCGGGGGTAGGAAGGAGCTGGGGGGATATTTACTCTCGGCTCTTGGATTTCTCTTATTTAACTGAGCCCAGTGGCAGCTGCTTCTCTGAGCGCAACGCCGGCCGGCTCAGGGCTAGCCGCACCTGGAAGGCCAGCGCAGAGCGGACCGGGGGCTCTGACCAAGCCCGAGCTGGCCGTGGGGCATCGGGAAGCTGAAGGAGCCGGTTTAGGAAACCAGGGTGTGGTGGCCCCCGGCACGCTGTGTCGCACGGCGGCGCTTGGCTGCCCTCCACTCCTGCAGCTGGGACGAGTTGAGGCTGGGAGTTGGTGAAACGCGCTCACCTGTCGGAACCCGGATTTGGGCAGGGAGCAGGGCCCGGCGGCTCTCCCCGCGCCCAGACGCCACAGCCAGGGGGGCAGGTGTGGGGGCTGCTCCCGAAGACTCTAGCACCCCCCTACCCCCACCCCAACTCTGCTCTCCGCCTTTCACCCACAGGCGCCACCGGCTTGGTGTGCCCCAAGGCTTGGTGTGCAGACGCCAGGTTTAAGATGCTCCGCCTCCTCCTGGCACTTGGAGCCATAAGTGCCGGCAGGGACCTTTCCACTTGGTCTGAGTCTCCGGCCACTGCTGAGGTTTTCGGGACTCTAGGCCGGGCACAGCCAGGACCTTTGCCTCTGACCGACGCCGTGCCTGCAGCCTGCCTGGGGTACCCCCAGCTCCGGGAGAGTCCGCTTTCCCGGGCACCGACGCCCCAACTTTTTACGAGCGGTCTGCGCCCTCTGACTGGGCGTCGGGCTCCCGTGCCCAGGGGCGCGCATCTTCCGGAGGCCGGCATCGCCCCCAGCGGAGCGCAGCGCGCCCCTTCTCCCCGAGCGAGGGCGGGCTGCCTGAGCCCGGTCTCCCGCCCGCGAGGAGGGACCGAACCCCCGAGGCCCAGGCCTCTTCCCCCGAAACTCGAGTCGGCCCCCTCCTGCCTTCGGCCCAG